GGCGTTTGAGGCCGGATACTTGTGAGCTAGTCAACAATCCCCGGTTGGATTGTTTCCCCTTGTACATGATGATGGTGAGGTGGGTGTTAATATATTACATATATGTATATGTGGTTTTGATTCTGGTTTGAGATTTGTGAGCTTATACATGTATGAACGTATAAGCCCTAGATTTGGGCAGTGTTGTTTGGCACCATACGCCTTGGATAGGGTATGGTCGTGGGGTTTGAATTGATATAAAGAAAGAGATTGAGAATGTGTTCTTTGTATTTTTGTCGGAAATTGGAGTTGTGTTAAATCTGAAATGTATTGTTGGTTGTATTTCAAATAATTGTATATTATCGGAGTTGTGACTGTTCAGATGAGAACTACGTGTAGCTTGATCCCTTGTCCAAAGGTACGTAGGCAGCCTGGGGTCTCACCTGGGTGCAGCCGCAAATTTTACTGGGTGTAAAAGGTTTGATTGATTATGTGTATGTGATTGGATTTTGATGGGGTTATTGGATATGAATCTGATTTATTGAGATCATTAATTGTTTGGTCTATGCATTGTTCGACTTAAGAACTTTGCTGGTTTTGTTTCGAACCATTTGAAGGCCGGAGGCCGTTTATGTGAATTGCATGAGATTGTATTGTGCGTGCTGCTTGTTGGGATATTTAAAATGTGAATTTTTGTGCAGGTTGAAATTTGGGGAATGTTCAATTTATAGGGGAGATTTTTCCGAATTTTCGGTGGAAAGTCTCGTGCCCTTATTTCTTTGGGGGAAAAGAGGATATAGTTTCAATGAGTGGGCCTGATATCGGGGTGATGTCGGAATTTCCACAGGATTCGTTTCGGGTTTCGAGGAATTCGGGGTGGGTCCTGTCATGAAAACCGTGGGATCTGCGTAACTTTTTCATAAATATTGAAGTCACAAGTTGAAAATCGATTTGCCAAACAATTTCCATAAATGTTCACAACCAAACCAACACAATCAATTAAGATCGAAGGAAAAAGAATTATAAATATTTGTGGATACAAATAGCCATATGCTTAATAACTTTTTATTAGCTAGGCTAGGCTGGGGTGCCCAATAATCACTTGATTGCATGCTAAAACCTAGATAATTTGGCACTCTAATCATAATCTTCAATGCCAAACGGTATTTTGGTATGCCAAGTTGCCAACTCAAAGGGTGTTACTCATTATTTGACTTATTATATATCCGAAAAGAAAAAACACTTTTACTTGTACAAAATTCGTAGCCCAAATTCTTATTCTCTAAGGCTAACATGAATTATTTTTGTGTTCCTTGCTGGCATATCCAAAAGTGAAACGATAATCTAAAAACTCCCCAAAATTAATATATCGTGGAAGATATTATGATTTACAAGTTATTTTATGACATGAAATATCACTCCTCTATGTTGATTGTCAATATTTACATTGGACAAATGGTACGTAAACTATTTTTGGCAGTTCACTTTATTGCTTGTAGTGTTTTAGGGGAAGGAAAATAAATGTCAAAGTAAGATAGAAGGAGAAACACTTCAATTAGTAGGCAGTCTTATGAAAGATGACGGTTTTACATATTTTGCAACGGTTTGTGACAGTTTGTAGACCTTTTGTGACGAAATTTTGGTCCCCAATCAGGTTAGTTGTATTGGCGACATTTTTTCAAACCAACACTGTAATTACACCAAACCATGTTAGCCTAGGCCGATTTTCAAACACTGTAATTACACCAAACCCTGTTAGCGACTACGCAATTGGATGTTGAAGCCTAGAGAATTCCACACCCACAATGTCTAAAATGCAGTTTTAATTTAAGAAGTTTTGTCCTTTACTCCCCAACACCCTTTTCCATCTACCGCTCTATTCGAAGATACGCCGTTGTTACGAACTGGTTTGGCATTTTCCCAATTTACACCATTAGGACATTTTACCAAAAAGAAAGAGATAAACTAATTAGGCTGTCATCTATTGTTGAGATGTGCAATAGTTTTTGCTTACACTGAGCTCTGAGCTCTGAGCTCATCATGTTATTTCTAAACCAATTTACAATAATTTTCCCCCCATACTATACAATTTACGGTGCTACTTGTATAAATTAATACAGAGTTACGTGTCACAAAGAAGCTGCATCAGTTGCTTCCTGGGGCAATCTCATGAGTTCTTGGTCTCTCAGTAATCTCAATGGCTGATTCCATCTCTGATCTGCTGGTTGATGCTCCAGGACTGAAACCAGCATGCTCAAGATCAGCAGATGAAGGTGTTCCCATCTGTTCCTCAAACACATTGCGTGCTTCAGTATGGTCTGAATAGACTGATGGGCTTGGGGTGAAGTTGGTGTTAACCTCAAGTTCTCTCTTCTTAAAAGTAAACGACTTGAGGTCCTTGTTGTCGTAAATTCTTAACATGATAAGAAATCTTCTCCACATTTATGTAACTAAAGGAGTTGGTCATTCCATCAGTCATTATCCAAGCATACCCTTCATCCATCATGCCAATCTGTTTCGCCTTGTCGAACAGCCGAGAGCCAAGATCAGCGAACATGTGCACAATGAAGACCTGAGTTTGCATTTCCTTCAACTTGTAAAGCTCAGCAACAATTTGGTCATCAGTGGCCTTTGGAGAAATGACACTCCGGTAGGCAATTCGAGCATCAACTTCTTGCAGAGCATCAGAGAGGGAAGGTATGACTCCCTCCCCAAACTCATTGTCAACATAGATGGCAACTACTTCTCTCCAGCCAAAGGCTTGGATGATGGCACTCATGGCTTTCACTTGGTTTCCCTCGTTCACATTTAAGATTCCCCTCGAAACATCGTGAGCAAGAGGGGAGCCTTTTGGGAAGACCTGCAAGTTGTAGAATCATAGGAAACAAAACAATCCCTGATGAGAAAACATGGTGGATCAACATCAAAGAGAGATATAAAGGAGAAACAGCAGGTGAACTTACAAAAGCAAAACCATCGGCTTTAAATGTTGGATCAACCATGGTGTATTTGGAGCAATATGTTGCAAGAAACAGTTTCATGTAGGGTGTTTCATCAAACGCTGCAGAAATGCCATTTTTTCTACTCCCATTTTGAAAAAGTTGGTTCAACTCTTCTGGGGTTTTAAAGGGCTTAAGATTTTCATCCTGAAATCCTAGATCTTTCAAAATCCCATAAACAAAAGAATCTGGTTGATAGGCAACATTGTCCTTATATTTGAGGAGCAAGTTTACATCAGTAACAGTTGGTTGGAGCTGTTGAACTGTTAAAAGAGAGGTCAAACTTGCAGTGTAACTTTGAGTCAGTATCAGGACAACAAAGCACCATATGATCACCACAAACCTAGCCAAGTTGCTCACAACTCGCTCCCCTGTAATTCAAAATAAGAAAGGAATGAACAATGAGTCATGGAAGTCGTTTTACCATTTGGGATTTACTTTTTTGAAGGATAATTTACAATGGAAAGTATTTGATTTGGTTGTTGGGTTGCAGAGTAAACTAAGATGAAAGAACTTACTGTGTGCAAAAACCATGGTTGAGAAGGAGAACCAAAAACTTGTCCCGATTTGGTGATGTGGAGGTCCACGAAAGTCTTCGTTTATTCGATGTTCAAGAACCCAGACTACAAAACCAATGAATATGAAAAAACAACCGCTTGTTAACCAAAGATCCCATGTCAAAGGCTTCAAGAACACCCATGCATTCTTGCTTTTGTTGTCTTTGATAGGCACAATCATGGACACCCCAGATTCTTTGTATGGCAATGTAAAGTCAACATATAAGGATCTGTCTGCTCTGATGGTTATATCTCCCACTGCAGCATCATAGTTCTTTCAAGAAAAAAATGTCAGTGTCAGTAAATAATTTGGATAGTTTTGTTTTGTTAGATGAAGGAAAACAAATAAGCTTAGATATGAATCCTACCCCAAGAAAGACTTCATTGACCAAGTCATTGTAACTGCCAGCGCTCTCACCATTAGGCTTTGCATAAGGATATAAAT